AATCATGTGAGACAGTGTCTAACGCTATTTACTCATGGGCAGTTATCCTGGTTTCAGCTGGGATAGAGTTAAATTTCTTCCTAGTAGCTGGTATAGTACTGTGGTTTGCATTTAGGATGAGAAGAATGTGGATAACACACTGATGTTTTAGTTGTTGCTGAGCAGTGCTTACACTAAGTCAAGGACTTCTCAGCCTCTCATGCTGCCCTGCCAGTGAGTAGGCTGGGGATGCACAAGGAGCTGGGAGGGGACACAGCCAGGACAGCTGACCCCAACTGACCAAAGGGATGTTCCATTCCATATGACATCATGCTCAGCATGTAAAGCTGGGGGAAGAGGAAGGAAGAGGGGGACATTCAAGTGATGGAGTTTGTCTTCCCAAGTAACTGTTACATGTGACGGATCCCTGCTCTCCTGCAGATGGCTGAACACCTGCCTGCCCATGGGAAGCAGCGAATGAATTCCTTGTTTTGCTTTGCCTGCGTGCACGGCTTTTGCTTCACCTGTTAAACTGCCTTTATCTCAACCCATGAGTTTTTTCACTTTTACTCTTCCAATTCTCTCCCCCATCCCACCTGGGGGCAGTAAGCCAGCAGCTGGGTGGTGCTTAGTTGCCAGCCAGGGTTAAACCACAACAGCAGTGTCCACATAAGAAAATTCAGTGCCACAAGTAAGGAGGGAAGGAGAGGAAGAATGGGATGGTCAGATGGAGGCTTGAAATCCCCCAAAGCCAAGAAACTGGGAGCAGTCCAAAGTAAGCATATGAATTTGTGAGGAACAGTGTAGTAGATCTTGGTCTACCTGATGAGTGATTTTTTAGATTGCTGATGAGAAGAAAGAGGAGACAAGATCTTTTCTTTAACTGTGCTCCCTGAGGATGTGCTCAGCACTACAAAAGTCTCTCTAAATACTTCGGAAGACCAGGAGTCCTTGAGGCTTTTTGAGCAATGCAAAGTGAGATGACTTCCACATGTTGTATGGAGTCACAACCTAAGAGCACCTTTTCCTTTCCACTATAAGGCAGAAGAACAAGGAAGAAAAGACTGAAGAGACTTGGGGTTCAAGCCAAAACAAAGAGATGTGCCAAGAAGTTACCTTTAGAGCTCTTTATAAGCTCTATGCATAACACCTTTAAAGGCTGAATATTTTCTGGGTCTGTTGTTTACTGGTTGACAAACAAAGCCAGGAATAGCATCTCATAGCAGGATATGTCCCTTGGACAATGTAAAGTTGGTGGGTGTGTGTAGCACCTATATCCATAAAGGTGGAACAAATATTCAACAAAATATGAATAAAAAAAAAAAGCCTGTAGGGTCAGAAAAAAAAAATAAATAAAAGGGAAAAAATCCACACCCCAAGTTTGCAAAGGTAACCCACAATGCAAGTGAGAAAATAATCCTGAGGAGCAAGTTCTGATTTAGCCATAAGGAAAACTGGGAAGCTGGGTACGCTCTGCTCTTTTTATACCACACATGGAGTATTTTGAGGAGGGTGTGGGACTGTGCCCTCGGGCACCCACAGCATGTTTGTGCTTATCACTTCGAGGACAACAGACTTTGTTCCTAAATGCAGTTATTGGGAATTCTATCATTCAGTGAAATTACAGCAGGACTGAATTTGGCTTGAAGCATTATTATGTAGCCTTGAAAATGTTCTCTTCATAGAGTCAGAAATGGCCAAAAATCCAGGAAATCTTGTTAAGAATTAATACTGGAAACAGCATTGCTGTCACTTATACATGTGGCATGCTGGGTACCTTGAAGCATATTTAGAGCAAGCAGTAAACAATGGCAAACAAGGGAAAGTAGAATTTTGCCTGCTTTTTGAAGACTGTTAGCTAGATTTACTTTTATATTGCAATGTATGTGTACACAGCACTCTGCCAGGCAAGATATACTTTTTATTGACCTACTTGTGTTCCAATTTATTGCTAGTGACAGCTGTTGTCAATGGTCTGGAGAAAATAAATTGAGAATAAGGCAAAGAGACATTGATTGGTCAAAAAAATTAGTTGTTGTTTTAAATCAAATATAAGGGATTTAGTCTCTTAAAAACTATAGATTCTGATTAAAACGAAGACTTTAAAGCCATGGTTGGATTACAGTAATTCAGAACTTCATGGATTACGAGATGAAATGCTTCACAGGCTTCATTTTGGACAAAATGCTGCCATTAGGATTACTATATAATTTTAGACCTATTTCTTAAAATCCTCTGCTGTGCTACTATAAGAATCTGAAAGACACTGACTGCCATGTTTAATTTGATCCTTCTAACACGTGAGTCAAATTTGTTGATGTTTAACATTTGCAGCCAGTCTAATCTGCTACATTTCAGTGACCTCTCTACACAGTAATTTCAGAATCAAGGTCTAGTATAGCTGGTATACTGGTGGTGTTTCCTAGATACAGGCTGTGGATGACAGTTGTAGTACATGAAAATCTCCTTCCTCTAGTCAGCACAACATATATTTAACCGTTTCTGGTTTTTAAGGGCAAATTAAGACCTATTTGATTCTGTGTTTTATCTTATTTGGCTTTTTAGATTGCTTTTTTAATGGACCACAAGTTGCTTGGGGACATTCTACATGGAAGGCACTATACATGAATGGTCTAATTGTATCTCTCTCTGAAAAGGTGAAACAGTTTTATTGAAGGTGCCTGCCAGAGAAACCACATGTATCACTAATGGAGAAAGCAAGTGATAAAAGCCTCTTAGATGACAGAGACAGTGAAAAAAACAGTTTTCTATGACAGTATTCTAGCAGAAAAACAAAACAAACCCCTCCCCCTGATTTTTGTCAGCATCTTCAGGGAAAATCAGATGAAGATACAATAATTCTCTTGTAGTTGTTTCTGATTAATGTTTTTTTCTAATCCAAACAGATGAGCACATCCTACAATTTTGACTTTTATCAGGCACACTGATACTTTTCTGCCTTGTATGTACATGTTTAAACTGAAGAAACATTGAACAGCTGCAAGTAAATTATAGATGAAGTATTTAAGAGATATGAAGAGTTAGGTAGTACTTCTGAACAGTTTCAAATTTCCTCAATGGAGACTGTTGAATAAATGCACTAGAAGAGTTAAAAAATAACATGGAGGGAAGTGGAGAAGGAGGGAAAATAAGGATATACACAGAGGAAAGTTTTCTCCAAAAGGGGAAGAAAAATTGATTACATTTATTCAGTTTACATCTCCTTATGACTGGCATGAATACACACAGAAATTAATCTCACCAGCCTTCTCAACATACGAAACAGTTACATCCTTTTGAAGTCTAAGGGAATTATTTATACCTTATAGTAGGAAACTTGGATTCTCTTTATGAGAGGCTGCTTTCCCTCTAGTTGTCCCTGAGACCAGGCAGTGTGAACAAACATTATTATTATTATTATTATTATTATTATTA